GCATTCAATTTCAGTCTGTATAAATCAGTATCAAGAACTCACATCTTCTAATTCATAATGAAGTTTCTTGTTAAGTCTGTGAGTCAGAAGTTTCCCTTATGACATGGGTTTAATACGATACAGGTGCCTTAGGGCAAAGACTATCGCAGGTTCTGTACTTTTAACAGTGACATATGACAGCCGTAGTGATAAAATCAGTTTATGGAAAAAAATTGCATCTTCCATACTTTAACATTGACTTTTGACAATCGTAGCAATGGTAAAGTATGGAAGTTTTGTGGAATGCGGCCCAGGGTGCCCTGGTAGATACAACCTTAGAGCTACAACTGTCGTAAATATATGTTAAACTGTGGGAGTTACGATGACCTTAGCGCAAAGATCGCTTTGTACAAGGGCAACCAGGGCAGTAACTACAGAGTAATTAATTACTTTGTCAAAGACTTATATATAACATGAAACTAGGCATTACAAAGCCAGCTTGGCACAAGGACTTTTCATGTAGTCATGTGAAGAAACTGCCTTATGTAAGTCCCTGACTGCATTCAGACCACCTAGTGTTGTGTGTCAGTGCTACAGTGTTCCTTGTTACTGTCTTGATTAATCTGGGGGTACGGGTGGCCCAGTCGTCTAAGGTGCCGCGATTCGCTGTGCAGAGACGCGTCCCTTGGGCACGCCAGAAACCTATGATTGTGGGTTCGAATCCCGGTTCGCCCCGATTATGTTTCCAGGTTTGTCAGCACCATACCCTTGCTCCACGGTTTCACCGAAGTGGTAAACGTCTGACACCTGCATCACTTCGGGCTTTCCTCCCACATTAAGCTGACACTCCGCGATATAACTGGAATACTGTTAAAAGCAGCGTTTAACCCAACTCACTCACTGACTCACTTGATTAATCTAGATTCATGATAAATCTTTATCTGACCTACTTCATACAGATGGTGGCATCAGTGGTGGTTTTGTCTGAAAAAATGTCGCTATTGAGTTGATGGTGGCCCATTGTAGATATACACATTTTTAGACCAGAAGTGCAGCATTTGGCAAACAGGTTTTACCAGTACATGTGTCACAAACTTTCATTTAGAAAATATTTTAGGTTCAGCGAAGGTTGCAACAGTTTTACGAAAGAAAACTCTAGGTTGTTTCGATTGGATTGTGTTTGTTTACCCATGAAGTTGACAAGTTGACATGAGAAATATACAAGCTCTACCAGTTGGTGCTAGATATATAGACTGGTACTAACATGAAACGGATTAGGTCTTTGCTGAAACTGACAAGATGGTGCCGATATGTACATACGACCATCCTTTCCTGTGATACATGGACTTAACACATATTGCCTATATCTGCCAATCAAGTCATAATACTGTTGTGTATTTCGCCAGTGTCAACAGTTGACATCCATTTCACTGTGGGGCTTTTGTTGTTTGTTTCATTGTTTGTTTGATCTATCTCCACCTCTCACGCTCTTCCCACGTCAATATTACTTGTTGTTTAGAGTATGGTAACTTAGTTACAATAAATCGTCAATATCAAGTCCGTCTTGTTGTCTTTGGTAAGGGGGGCGGTCGGGTAGCCTAGTGGTTAAAGTGTTCGCTCGTCACGCCGAAGACCCGGGTTCGATTCCCTACATGGGTACAATGTGTGAAGCCCATTTCTGGTGCAGTGATATTGCTATAATATTGCTAAAAGCGGCATTAAAGCATTTTCACTCACTCTAAGGTAAGCAGCTGACACCACTGTGGGTATTCTGCATTGGAATCGGGCGAAGAAGACAATGCTTGGAGTAAGAGGCAACAAAATGGATTGGTAGGTCAGGCTCGGTGACTTGGTTGATGGTGTGTCATTGTACCCCAACGGTGTGGATTGTTGTTCACAATATCAATCACTGGATGGTCTGATGCATATTCGTTTGTTTTCAGGCCACTGTGATATAGCTGCAATATTGCTGAGTGCAGTGTTAAAAAACAAAACAAAGGTGCTGTCAGTTTGTTTTTGCGACAGACTATTCTTAAATTCATGCAAACAAATTAAAAACCTTTGGAAATTATCTTTATTTTTTCTAAAAATGGCTTGTCAATGGGTTTGTCAGCACCGTGCTCCTGGGTTTCAATGAAGTGGTAAACGTCTCAGACCTGCATCACTTCAGGCTTTCCTCCATCAATAAGCTGACATGCCGTGATATAACTGGAATAGAGTTAAAAGCTGCGTTAAACCCAACTCAGTCAGTTTTCTAAAAATCTTATTCTAAAACTACATTCTTTAGCCCTTTTGGTGGTACAATTCCTGAAATCTGCACTGTTCAGTTGTCATAGTTAAGAATTATGCACAAATTGTATGTGCATTAGGGATTCAAGCACTCAGGTTACACAAGATATTGCAGTTATGTCACTTGCTTGAAGTACCTCATCCCCGGGTTGGATTGGGGTAGTCTAGTGGTCAAAGTGTTTGCTCATGATCTGATGGCCTGTGTTTGATTCCCTACAATAGTACCATCTGTGAATGGGCGGTCGGGTAGCCTAGTGGTTAAAGCGTTCGCTTGTCACGCCGAAGACCCGTATTCGATTCCCGACATGGGTACAATGTGTGAAGCCCATTTGTGGCGTCCCCCGCCGTGATATTGCTGGAATATTGCTAAAAGCGGCGTAAAACCATACTCACACACTCACTCACAATCTGTGAAAATTCTGAAAAGCATTCAGACAGTCATACTCACAATCACTTTATGTGTTGTGGAAGGTACCAATTGCCAATGCATGGTATACAATGGGATTCTTTCTGTTGAACATATATACACCACAGCAATATTGTTATTGTGAGGTTATATTTTAAGCTTAGCCATCCTTGTTATTCTGGGTATCAGAATTTGCTTGTCTGTGTACTAGTCTGTGTCTGTCTGAGTTCAAACCCAATGAGATACCATGGGCAGTTTAACATGCATACCTCTCTCAGACAGTGGAATACACACTCGAGCCGACCAGCCCGTTTTAGTCTCTGAATGCCCAGCGACAGGCAGGGTAACAACAAATACCACCTTTTAACATCTTTTGGTATGACGGGGGGATCGAACCCTTTGCATCCCCTGGGTGAAGTAGCTCTGTATAGACTTGTGATTCTGGGTATTAGATTTTGCTTGTTTCTGTCTGTCTGTGTACTAGTCCTAATGAGTTCTATCCAACTGAGATACCATGCCACTTTCCATGGATACCCCTCTCAGAGGAAGTGACAACAGATCTGGAGCCCACAACTCCCTGTTTTAGCATCTGAATGCCCAGCGCTAGACAGGGCAACCACCTTTTAACGTCTTTTGGTAAGACGAAGGGATCGAACCAACAGACCTCCCGGTTCAGGGCAGATGCTCTATCCACTTTACCCTTGAACCAGAATTAAAATGATTATATATAAGGGCGTGATTACCGCTTCTTTGCATCCCCTGGTTGAATTAGCTCTGTATAGACTTGATATTGTGACTAGCAAATGTGGCCCCAGGAATTTCCGTTAAAAGGTCAAAATAAAGTTATCAAAAAATTATTACTGTACTGTATTACAACACGACATCAACAATTGATATCTGCCCCAAACGTATTGCTGTTAATACTGAAAAAGACCGACATCGCCAATGCAGGTACATTGCTGGACTGTGTGGGCAATTATATCAGTCACTGGTTTGTCTGGTCCAGATTTGATTATTTACTGGCCACCTGTAGCTAAAATATTGATGAGTGCGGCTCTAAACAAACAAGAATATACACAAGGTCTTTCATTTTGTTTGCTTAGTTTACGAATCCGCCGACCTTCAAAATTAAAAGGGGGCACGGGTGGCCCAGTCGTCTAAGGCGCCGCGAATCGCTGTGCAGAGTTGCGTCCCTTGGGCACGCCGGAAACCTTTGATTGTGGGTTCGAATCCCGGTTCGCCCCAATTATGTTTCTAGGTTTGTCAGCACCATACCCGTGCTCGTGGGTTTCACCGAAATGGTAAACGTCTGAGACCTGCATCACTTGGACTTTCCTCCCACATTAAGCTGTCACGCCGCGATATAACTGGAATACTGTTAAAAGTGACGTTAAACCCAACTCACTCACTCAAAATTGAAAATTCAGGAAGAGAAATAAAGTTAGAGGAACAAAACCATTATATACAGCCGATAGTAAAGACTTTGACAATATAAATAATCCAAGGGATTTTATATGACTAAAACTTATTTTATTTCCAACTCACTCTCTCACTCAAGGATGAAGTCACGAACTGTGAATCTGTTAATAAACGCAATGAAACTACATCTTTATTTCCAGCCATATTTGGGCGTTGAGGTAGCCCAGTGGTTAAGGCGCTCGCTCGTCACGCCGAAGGCCCGGGTTTGATTCCCACTTGAGTACAATGTGCGAAGCCTATTTATGGCTCCCAACGCTGTGATATTGCTGGAATATTTCTATAAGCGGCGTAAAGCAATACTCACTCACTACTACCATACTTGGATTTCTTTCCGAACACTCGCCACACACGGAAACTATCGAGTACAACCGAATAGTCATGCAAAAATAGAAGCCGACACCTGCTAACCCTCAACAGCACACTAATGTTGAAAAGCCTCAGCAAGTCTACTTTCGACCCCTGCTACAATCCGTTTATCACCAACTGGGTCAAACACATATTCGCTGCTTGGATTACACGTATAGGACAGTTTGTCTGGATACGACCTACTTTCCTGGACCGAAACACAACACGGACTGTGTAAAATAATATCAAGACCATCCGCTCCGGCTTGGTTAAGGCGCTCGCTCGTCACGCCGAAGGCCCGGGTTTGATTCCCACTTGAGTACAATGTGCGAAGCCTATTTATGGCTCCCAACGCTGTGATATTGCTGGAATATTTCTATAAGCGGCGTAAAGCAATACTCACTCACTACTACCATACTTGGATTTCTTTCCGAACACTCGCCACACACGGAAACTATCGAGTACAACCGAATAGTCATGCAAAAATAGAAGCCGACACCTGCTAACCCTCAACAGCACACTAATGTTGAAAAGCCTCAGCAAGTCTACTTTCGACCCCTGCTACAATCCGTTTATCACCAACTGGGTCAAACACATATTCGCTGCTTGGATTACACGTATAGGACAGTTTGTCTGGATACGACCTACTTTCCTGGACCGAAACACAACACGGACTGTGTAAAATAATATCAAGACCATCCGCTCCGGCTTGGTGGATCGCAATTCCCATCCTCACCAGTGGCCGCATTCTATTATGGTGGAGCTCCCGTAGATATATATAGCCGTGCTTCAAAGTTATCTATAGACAGCAGCATGCCAGGTAAGTGCCGAATGTCAAACCATTTCCCCTACATCCTTGTACATCAACGTGCAGCATCTACATACTCCATTGCTGAACTGTGAAATATATTGGCAACTTGATACGACGCTTGGTACCATATGGCGACATGATACTCGCCTGTCTCTAATGGCATAGCTATTATTGAGTATCCGGTTTCAAACATCGGGATTCAAAGGAAATATTTGACAGATGCCATCAATTTTATTTCGATGCTTCGTCCAACCAGTCTGAGATCCAGGTTAGGATATTTCCTAATGTCTTACCTTACCGACTGGTCAGGTCCGTTGATAGGGTCAGTTGGTGATTGCATGCCATCGAACTCCGACGGCGTGGTCGTTGCTTGCAATATCAATCACTTGTTTTGTTTAGAATCGAATAATTACTCGTCGTGATGTTATGATAGCATTGATAGAGGATGAAATTGTTATATACAGTAGAACATGGATATAACGAACTGCAAGGGACCAGAGAAATCAGTTCGTTATATCCGTTCTTCGGTATATACGTTTTCACTCTGAGACGTCCGCCATCTTGGATACAATAAAACACCATACACGTAATTGCAGCAATGACTTATACAGGAGATAAATCGGGGATTTTTTAACAGTTCGTTGTATCCGTTTGTTCGCTACATCCGTGTTCGTTATATCCGTGTTCTACTGTATTTGTACATTGGTCTGGGGGCACGGATTGATCGTTGTTCACAATATCAATCACTGGATGGCTTGTGCATACTCGTTTGGTTAAAGTCCACGGTGATATAGCTGCAATATTGCTGAGAGCAGCGTTAAAAAACACACCGACGGGTTGTTTATGTGACAGACTTAAATTCACACAGAAACAAATTAAGATCCTTTGTAAATGGTCTTAATTTGTGTCTGAAAATGTTATTCTAAAAATACATTCTCTCTGCATATTGCAGTAAGCTAGTAAATGACATCTACCATAGTCAAAACCTTTCGGTCATGCTATCAAAAAGGCTAGCCAACTGGTAACCCAACTGTCAATATTTGTTCAAACTATGGGTCATTTACTGTTCCGCCAAGTGACCAGTTGGTGTGATCACGTCAGGAAGGACTTTGGCCACCTCGCATGTTGACCTCGTCACCATAACCTCCAATCACATACAAGAAGTTTACCGCGCGTTATAAATCACTGACTGACTCCATTTGTGTAACACGTACACTCCGCCGTATATAGAGGTTGACAAGATGGCCACTGGCAGCGAAGGTACGTGTGGTTCACTATATCAAGGTACATCAGGTTCACTATATAGCAATAAATACAATAACATGAATAAAGTTTAAACTGATACTTGTCACACAACTGACAATTCCAGATATATCACTTTTGAGAGATGTTTTGCGTCACTCGGCTTACAGTAACAAACAATTGGCTTGCAAACAATCGTCAGCACCCAGATGGATAGTGTAAATCCTGCTGGCGTTACGAGGTGTACCGTGCAGGTAGTAGAGGTACCGTAATTCCCCCAGTAAGGTGTCCCAGTTTTGGTTACGAGCGACCTATAGCCCGAGTTTTATATTGTGTTGTTGTTTAATCGTCTGTTCCTGGTATTTTTTTCAAACTTTTATTGAATATGGATCTGTCGTGTTACTGCTTGTTATTCTGTCCTTTGTTGACAGGATTTAAGAAAATATAAATGCATTACTCTGTCTAGTCAAAATATGGTTGAAATATTGCTGACGTGAAAACTTTAACTTACTCACATTAATTCCATAGGTCATCTCGCTCAAGAGAAATCCTTTTGAAATTTGATTCACTAGTTTACTAGTTCACGTGACTATCACATTACACCACATTATCTAAAATAATACATCAAATGTATACCTAATTTCTATTTACCATAAAAAGCTTTTCTCAAAATGTCATGTTGCACGAAGTATATTCCGTGGGATCGGTTATTTCCCCCCGACAATATATTGTTTACGAAAGCCTATTATGGTCAAAATTGAAAAGACACGAAAAGAAATTCGTTATAACGGAATAAAAAGATTAGTTATTACGGAAATATTTTCATTATAATGAAAAAAAGATTCGTTATTATGAAAACAAATTCGTTATAACGGGAAAAAAGATTCGTTATTACGGAAAAAGAGATTCGTTACCACGGAAATAATTTCGTTATAACGGATAAAAGATTCGTTATTTTACGTTATAACGTATCTTTTTTTCGTAATAACGAATATTTTTCCGTTATAACGAAATTAATTCCGTAATAACGAATCTTTTTTCCGTTATGACGAATATCTTTTCGTGTCCTTTCCATATTTCAGTTTTGACCCCAATAGGCTTTCGTAATTGTTCGCTTGTTGTGCTGGATATCCTGACGCCCATTGATAGATTCCCAGAAACCAAAGCTCTTTTTTTTTTACTGTCAGTGACAGCTCGGGTTCATGTTCTTTATCCATGTCAAAGGATAGTTGAAACCTCAATTATCAAAAACAAGTGCCACTGTTATTGTTTGTTTCATTTCCAGGTTCTCTGAAAGGTCTTGTTGCCTTGGTAACAGGTGCAACAAGTGGCATAGGCCTGGGCATCGCGCACAGTCTGGCCAGGAGGGGTTGCAGCATCGTCGTGAATGGACTTGGGGATGCGAAGCTGTTCGCGGAAATCAAGGAGGACTTTGTGAAGTATGAGTCGATTATCAAAGGGGGGATAACTCATCTTCTTTTACCCTGTGGGGTCGAATAGGTCTACAGCAGCCCATGCTTGCTGTAAAAGGCGATCCATGCTTGTCGTAAGAGGTGACTAACGGGATCTGACGGTATCAGGTGGTAAGGCTCGCTGACTTGGTTGATGCATGTTACCGTATCCCATATTGCGTGGGACCCGTGAAGATTCCGGGGTAGAATAGGTCTTCAGCAACACATGCTTGCCGTAAAAGGCGTCTATGCTTGTCGTAAGAGGCGACTAACGGGATCGGGTGGTCAGGCTCGCTGACTTGGTTGATGCATGTCATCGATCCCAATTGCGTGGATCGATGCTCATGATATCAATCACTGGATTGTCTGGTCCAGACTCGATTATTTACAGACCGCCGTCATATAGCTGGTATATTGCTGAGTGCGGCGTTAAACAACAAACCAACCAACCAACCAACCATATTGCGTGGATCGATGCTAATGTTTTCAATCACTGGATTGTCAGGTCCAGACTCGATTATTTGCAGACTGCCGTCCTTTAGCTGGAATATTGCTGAGTGCGGCGTTAAACAACAAACAAACAAAATCATCAGCCTGTGTATTGTGTCTATTATTGATAAACACATTGGAACGATGCTACAATTGCCGTCCAGTATGCGGGTGAGTTGTGTCGGCGTGAGCTGGGGTTTTATCGAAAACAATAAATATCAATCACTGGATTGTTTGGACTCGATTAATAACAACGCCGTCATATAGCTGCAACATTGCCGAGTTTGGCGTGTCACAACTAACAAACAAAAAAACATTTTGTGTTACAGGCAACACGGGGTTGACACACATTTTTCAGGGGAGAATCTCGCGAAGCTGAGCGAGATACAGAAACTACACGGCGATGTCATTAAACTCTACCCTAGGGGAGTGGACATACTGGTAAATAACGCAGGTATTTGAATATTTGCCACTGACTGAACTCTGTTGTGTGAAGCAGCATGTCAGTACTCGCTATTGTTTCAACTGCCCACATAACGATCACCGATTCTATGTACAACAGGAATAAAAGCGACAAAACCCTTTCCATATTCACAAGACACCTAGCCAGATATATGTACTATTTTCTATGTATGTATGTATGTATGTATGTATGTATGTATGTATGTATGTATACAAACCAGCGAGGTAATGGCGATGCATCGTGTATCGATAAGAATCGATTCACAGTTTGTCTTACATGTGTGCACACATGGTTTACAAACTGGTGCCGATCAACAGTTTCGTTATGTGCTCTTCAATATGATGGTGTATTATGATAAAGTTATTTGGAAACAAATATGCCTTTGTATTCCTTAATCAAACTAACATCTTCAGCCGATTAGTATGTCCTGGGCCCGCTTGCACAGAGCGATCTTAGTGCTAAGACAATTGTAAGCCTAAGTATGGGAGCTACGATCATATTAGCCCTAGCCATCTTAGCTTTGTGCAATTTGGTCTAGCTATGCATACAATTTCGTGACTTCCGTGTGTTAACCAATTAGTAGCATGTGGAATATTTGTGAATAGAATGTGCAAAAAACAAAAGACATAAAAACAATTGCAAATATGATCTGGTGTTGAGAGAACTATGATGGTATTCACATTGGTTGCAACTTTTCTGTCGCTCCCGCCACACTAGACTCACGCTTAATCCATGAAAACATTTCTTTCAAATAATTGTAAAATTATGTTTTTCTAAAGTACCTTTCCTCTTCTGCTTTTTGTGGAATCAAGGAAACTAGACTTGCTTAGGCTTTTATATATATTCCAAGTTCATGGCGCAAGACTACCGCCAAGCCGCTGATGGTGTTGACTACGTTCTCCTTGCAGGGTTCCAGCATGTGTGCCCTGTTGAGAGTTTCCCGACAGAGAAGTGGGATTCCATGATAGCGGTGATGCTGACAGCTCCGTTCCACCTGACTCAGATGTTCCTGCCGCACATGAGAACCAAAGGTCGGTAGTCCAAAAGGTCAAAGAGATCAGCTGTCTCCATGCGCCTTTCAAACGAGAATCTGAGCGTCTCACTAATAACATGGCACAGGGGAGACTAATGACAGTCATGGCATGTGATATTCAAGTCATTCATAATCTGCGTAATCTGCGCTACGTGACTGTAAACTCTATGATGTAGATCGGCCTCTCAGTTAATTATCATAATAAGACACTTTCATATAAGTTTCTGTTTTTGAAGTCTACATTAGGACTGACAGGAAATCGGGACCAGGCACTGAAACCTAGCCTCTCTCTTCCCCCCCCCCCCCCCCCCCCCCCCGTTAAGTACACGCAACGACCGTGAAGATACTGGTGACAATAGGTCTTCAGCAACCCATTCTTGCCTTAGAAGCGACTATGCTTGTCGTAAGAGGCGATCAGGTGGTCAGGCTCGCTGACGTACTTGTTGTTACCCTGCCTGGCCTGCGATATTAAGAGGCTAAAACAAGGACTGGTCATCTTGGAGTCAGTTTACTGTGCTTGAGTACGGTATTCATTTTAAACTGCGGCATGATATATCAGCACTAGCACAAAGCACTAATACAAGCAGACAGACACACGCACGCACGAACGCACGCACGCACACACGCACACACACACACACACGTGCATGCACGTCGCTACATAAGTGCAATAATCTTTGACACGACGTAAAACCCCATTTCACCTCACCAGGATTGGTCTCGAATGAAGAGTGTTTCGTTTGCCAACATAAACGGTAGCAGATATAATAACAATGACTATTTCTGTTACAAAATTATCCTTGCTTCAGGATGGGGGCGCATCATCAACATGTCTTCGTGCCATGGTCACGTGGCTTCAGCCAACAAATCAGCGTACGTCTCCGCAAAACATGGCATCATAGGACTTACTAAGGTAACGGTTGATAACAACAGGGACTCGTACAAGTCTGTTGAAGCTTTAAATCTAGAACTGATATGACGTTGTACTGTATTTAGCCTGCGATCATCCTCGATAATACAGTGTTATATGTTATATCATGACACATCTTAAACACATTATCTTCCCGGGGCGGTCGGGTAGCCTGGTGGTTAAAGCGTTCGCTCGTCACGCCGAAGACTCGGGTTTGATTCCCGACATGGGTACAATGTGTGAAGCCCATTTCTGGTGTCCCCCGCCGTGATATTGCTGGAATATTGCTCACTCACTCACTCACTCACTCATTATCTTCCCAAGTGAGTTTACTGACTATAATAGTCCAGTTTCCACCCTGGCTGGAATTCCGGTGTTACCTTTTGGCTGGATTAACGAGTCTACGCATAGTTAAGTCAAAATCGCATAACGAAGTAGACATCCGGTCTACAACGTGGATGGGGGTACGGATGGCCCAGTTGTCTAAGGCGCCGCGATTCGCTGTGCAGAGTTGCGTCCCTTGGGCACGCCAGAAACCTTTGATGGCTCGAATCCCGGTTCGCCCCGATTATATTTCTAGGTTTGTCAGCACCATACCCTTGCTCGTGGGTTTCACCGAAGTGGTAAACGTTTGAGACTCCACTCACACACTCTTGATTATCGATCAGATCGTTTTGACTGGGCGCCGCCATTTTGTTTGAGAAGCTTGTCGTTTGATATGCGAGATGAAATCTGATAGGTCAGTAGGAGGGACGTAGAACATACTTTCTATGAACCTTAAACGGGCGTAAAATATCTGTTGCCGGAGTACGAATCTTGAACGGGACATTCTAAAAAGCAGTGCAGCTTTCGAACACCTCTGTAGCCTCGTGGTACACTCACTGGGCTACAGATATGAAGGTTGCGAGTTCGATCCTTGGGAATATAAAGAAAACATTTGTCATTTGATTTTACGTTTCAGTACATGTTACAATCTGAACGGAGGTTATATTCATAAAATACCCAGGACATTATATAAAATCCCTGGGATATTATAACACATTATATAGCAAATATGACTTGAATAATGTTTATCAGATTTAACCCGACTGGAGAACAATAGGATGACGTCACCGGAGGTTTATAAAGTCAGTTAACGCCCTTGCCTCTGGAAGACGGAACGCATTTACTGCCGAGCGAAGTCTCACCATCGCCTTCACACCATCCATGACTTCCCTCACACGTACTGGCGAACCTCAGTGTATGATGGTGTATAATTATTTCTGTGGTCTTGGTGCAATGCCGGTCTATTGGTTGCCTCCAAATACTTTAAAACACTGCTCTTATCATTCATTAATTCACTGTTGTGCTCTATATCTATTCTCTTTTACGTAGACGGTTGCCATAGAGACGGCTGGTTCCGGCGTCACATGTAACGCCATTTGTCCTGGTTATGTTGAAACACCGTGTAAGTATGAAGCTTCGAGTATAATCTTCATATCACAACACACATGATTGATGTACCGGTGACCATCCGGGTTAGACTTGGTTCTCAGCAGCCAACTCTTGTCGTTAGATGCGACTGACGGTATCAGGTGGTAAGGTGGTAAGGTGGTAAGGCTCGCTTACTTGATTGATGCACGTCTTGTATTCCGATTGCGTAGATCGATGCTCATGATGTCAATCACTGGATTGTCTATTTACAGACTGCCACCAAAGAGCTAGAATATTGCTGAGTGCGGAGTTAACAAACCCAGAACAAACAAATCATGATTGTTGCATGGGACATTGCCATCGTTCCGACTCACAGTAGTGAGTGAGCGAGTGAGTTGGGTTTAACCCCGCTTTTAACAGTATTCCAGTTATATCACGGCGTGTCAGCTTAATGTGGGAGGAAAGCCCGAAGTGATGCAGGTCTCTGACGTTTACCACTTCGGTGAAACCCACGAACACGGGTATGGTGCTGACAAACCTAGAAACATAATCGGGGCGAACCGGGATTCGAACCCACAATCATAGGTTTCCGACTCACAGTAATTGTGTGCAATATGTTCCAGAAAACCAAAATGACATCTTAATAAGTCGAATGGTTGGTTGGTTGGTTGTTTTACGCAGCACTCACCAATATTCCAGCTATATGACGGCGGTCTGTAAATTATCGAGGCTGGACCAGACAATCCAGTGATTGATATCATGAGCATCGATTCACACAATTGGGATCGATGACATGCATCAACCAAGTCAGCGAGCCTGACCACCCGATCCCGTTAGTCGCCTCTTACGACAAGCATAGTCACCTTTTACGGCAAGCATGGATAGCTGAAGACCTATTCTCCCCCTGATCTTCGCGGGTCTAATAAGTCTATCAAGAAGCCAACACTTGTTTTTGAACAGCAGAATATTTGATACGAGCCATGTCGCGAGAAACGTGTTTTACTCTGGCAGTTTCCAGCTTGGTTATGATTTGAATGAGTGAACAATACATTGATGTTAAAAAAACCTTATGTTTGTGTACTTCCAGTGTTTATAAAGCAGGCTGAGGATAGATCTCGAGACCAGGGAATCACATTAGAACAAGCAAAGGTATAACACTTTACAGGACCGAAATAGATCATCTTTAACGTGCTTGTTCATTCGCGCTCGGCTCGTCCCAACCCAAATAGGTCATCTCAGCTAGAACTCATCCCCGACAATCCAGTGTGTATTATATCCGTTGTAATGTTTACTGAAAAAATGAGTTGTGTAAAATTATGGAATTTTTGGCTCCTCCTTTTAGAATATTTTTTTTCACATTTTTTGAAGTAGTGAACAAAAAGCTATTCTCTAACAAGATTCCGAGGCCTCCCAGCATCAGTACATGCTCGCCCTGCCCTTAAGCTCATATCTGGGATAGATATACTGCACTTACCCAAATTGGATAGATGTAAAAATAAAAATAAAATAAAAACTTTCTTATTATTTCAGGCTCAAATTGTCAGCGTACATGCTTCCGGACAGCCTGTCAAGCTGGAACATGTAAGTATCTTATTTTATAAAATTCAAATAATTTCCAATTGGATTTGGGTTCAAATACACACGCATTGTAAGCAGACTGAGAAGTTAAACATGTAAATATCGCACTGTGCTGGGAAGTTGTTTGAATAGATTTTTTGTGGCATTTTTAAGAATGTGTAATAAATAAATGAACTAAGATCGAGGATAACTGATTATTGTGTACAGCATACCTGTCCAACCTAGATAAGCAGACGGGACAGAATAGGTCTTCAGCAACCCATGCTTGCCGTAAAAGGCGACTATGCTTGTCGAAAGAGGCGACTAACGGGATCGGGTGGTCAGCCTCGCTGACTTGGTTGATACATGTCATCATATCCCAATTGCGTGGATCGATGCTCATGATATCAATCGCTGGATTCTCTGGTCCAGACTCGATTATTTACAAACCGCCATCATATAGCTGGAATATTGCTGGGTGCCGCGTTAAACAACAAACAAACAAACAGATAAACAAACAGTATATTTGTCATGTTTGCGCGGGTAGCACCAGCTTCCTTGGATGAACAATTTGCCCCTGTCAAGAGGGTACTATAAGGGTGGATGTCAAGGTCATCTGTTTGTATGCCAATGTCATTATTCAATGACAGTATTCCTGACTCTTCTTAAGGATTCGTTTGCTTATACGATTATTAATCATATCGATGCGATAAACTAAACGGATAAACTTGTAACATGACATGTTTTTTAATTAGCCCCAGAAGATCGACCTGATCAGTATCTGCTAAATAAACGTCTTGGCTGACGTCACAATTAGGTTTATGTAGAGATTTCTGTAAACAAACATCGCACGTTTTGACACATAAGTGAATCGGTTCACTGGAATGAAACGGAAAAGAATGGAACGTTTCCAAACTCGAATATTGTATTCATATGCTGTGTCTGAAGTTACTTCATTCAAGTAGGGGGCACGGATGGCCCAGTCGTGGGCACGCCAGAAATCTATGATTGTGGGTTCGAGTCCCGGTTCGCCCCGATTATGTTTCTAGATTTGTCAGCACCATACCCGTGCTCGTGGGTTTCACCGAAGTGGTAAACGTCTGAGACCTGCATCACTTCGGGCTTTCCTCCTACATTAAGCTGACACGCCGCGATATAACTGGAATACTGTTAAAAGCGGCGTTAAACCTAACTCACTCACTCACTCGAGTGAAAATATGTCTTGGACTTCGACTGTTTTATGAATAACGTCAGTTATGATAACGTTTGTTTAGGTATTATTTATTAACTTTCAGAAATTAAAACAAAATGTTTTTTTTTCATAATACATAACTGCTGATAGGTATCAAAACATCTTATCTTTGAAAATCAATAATTTTGCTTTTTCTTTCGCCAAAAATTACATTTCAACCAAGGGAGGGGTCATGTCGTTGCAAATTGATTTCTTATCAGTCTTCTTCGAACCAGTTTATTTTAAAATTACCCATCACAGATTACTTTTTAAAAAACTGTTGCAGGAATGAGTGATGGTTAAAAAGTCATAATGAAATTTAATAACAGTCCATTCAATTTTCAGTCACATAAAAAACATAATTCGATTCGTAGTCCTTTCCAATTTTTAAGAAACCTTTATTTTGACAGATCGGTGAAATGGCAGCGTTTCTGTGTTCCCCCGCGGCTGACCAAATGACCGGAGCTTCCCTCGTTGTGGACGGAGGATGGACCGCGCAGTGAATTGTCGTTGTCATAGAAACTATTTTGTTCACTCCACATAGGAATTCTCTGGGAAAAAGTTCTGTCTTCGAGTGGTTTATGCGGAGATTGGGCGGACATGGTTTTAGTGATGTGTGAAGATCACATGAATACAAGATGTTCGAATTTTCTTGTCAAAATCCAAATGTCAGTGAGACAGTTTGAAAGTAGTTCCGGCAGTCAATGAGATAGACTGAAAGTAGTTCCGGCAGTCAATGAGATAGACTGAAAGTAGTTCCGGCAGTCAATGAGGCAGACTGAAAGTAGTTCCGGCAGTCAATGAGGTAGACTGAAAGTAGTTCCGGCAGTCAATGAGATAGACTGAAAGTAGTTCCGGTAGTCAATGAGGTTGACTGAAAGTAGCTCCGGCAGTCAATGAGATAGACTGAAAGTAGTTCCGGCAGTCAGTGAGGCAGACTGAAAGTAGTTCCGGCAGTCAGTGAGGTAGACTGCAAGTAATTCGGACTCAAAGTGTTATTTTAATTTTAAATGTTCAAATAAATTTAGTATTTCATCTGTTTATACATAATATAACAGTTTGCTTCCTTCCACTGCTTCCATCACAATCTTCATCAACCTGATCATGATGAACTATTTATTATCAGTCGTGGTGGAAATGTCAGTACATCTTTGCAATTTCATAAAAATATTATATTTATTCGGTTGATATACCTATGCCATACATGACAAATACTATATGGATGGTCACGTAGGGTGAGTGCTTCTACATTATCGGCAAGAGCGAAAGGAACGAAAGTTAAAAAACAGTGTCGAGGAGAGAAATTATAAAACTAATAACACAGTCGGGTTTTTTTCTGAGGGGCATGGTATCTACACCCAAACGGTGAACTATCGGGGAACGTGTTGTGTTTTGTTTGTTTTCTTTTGTTCCGACCAAAATTTTCAAATCTGGAACATAAAATGTGGAATATATAATAATTGTTAAATCGAATCTTGTTAGAAAGCTGATATCTGATTTGCCCGAAACCCACTCATCGTTCTCTACTTTAGCGGTCAAAGTGAATATCTACGCAGGATGCACTCAGGATAGACTAAGACTTTGTCTTTGAAAATAAATCATTTAGACAGAAACGAGCAACTGCATTTGAATTAAAAAGGAGCTCCAGTGAAAATCTGTTGTAAAGCTATACTTGCTTCCTTTAGAGCTATAGCATTACAGTCAGGACTTGGCGGAAGGGAAAATAATATAATTCAGAGAGACAGACTACACCGAGGGTCGCGTTCCGAGCTTCCAAGCTCAGACTATTTCATCAGCCCTGATATCACACTATCCAGTTTAGTAGGAATAGCGTTCTTAGGATCTATTCCTGTTTTTAGGAGCTTCCAAGCTCAGACTCTTTCATGAGCCCTGATATCACACTATCCAGTTTAGTAGGAATATCGTTCTTAAGATCTATTCCTGTTTTTAGGAGCTTCCAAGCTCAGGCTATTTCGTCAGCCCTGATATCACACTATCCAGTTTAGTAGGAATAGCGTTCTTAGGATCTATTCCTGTTTTTAGGAGCTTCAAAGCTCAGGCTCTTTCATCAGCCCTGATATCACACTATCCAGTTTAGTAGGAATAGCGTTCTTAGGATCTATTCCTGTTTTTAGGAGCTTCCAAGCTCAGGCTATTTCATCAGCCCTGATATCACACTATCCAGTTTAGTAGGAATAGCGTTCTTAGGATCTATTCCTGTTTTTAGGAGCTTCCAAGCTCAGGCTATTTCATCAGCCCTGATATCACACTATCCAGTTTAGTAGGAATAGCGTTCTTAGGATCTATTCCTGTTTTTAGGAGCTTCCAAGCTCAGGCTCTTTCATCAGCCCTGATATCACACTATCCAGTTTAGTAGGAATAGCGTTCTTAGGATCTATTCCTGTTTTTAGGAGCTTCCAAGCTCAGACTCTTTCATCAGCCCTGATATCACACTATCCAGTTTAGTAGGAATAGCGTTCTTAGGATCTATTCCTGTTTTTAGGAGCTTCCAAGCTCAGGCTCTTTCATCAGCCCTGATATCACACCATCCAGTTTAGTAGGAATATCGTTCTTAGGATCTATTCCGGTTTTAAGAGCTTCCAAGCTCAGACTCTTTCATCAGCCCTGATATCACACCATCCAGTTTAGTAGGAATATCCTTCTTAGGATCTATTCTAACCCGGGGGCCCCCACATGGGATATAATAAAGATTCCTGAATATATAGCGATTACTTCACGTGTATCTGTCAGAAAACACTATCTCACGAGTTGTTTCAAAACGAAAGCGAGTTGGATACGTTTTGAAGCTACAGGTTGTTAGACGTGAGTGCAGTAATCTGTTTCGTACACATCCTAAAATCGCACAGTTTTAGGGTCGAATCGATGCATATTCTGTCCATTCTCATGATCGCAGTGGCGCATTAATACATAACACGACGGTCATGACGTCATCCGTTTTACAGCTCATACCTAGTGTGACCCTCTTCAAAAAATGTTTCAGTGGATTGTCATGGCGATGATGACAATGCAAACTAGATAAGATCAAAGAACATTTATTAAACACTCTATTCGACACGGACGTAGGTGAATTCGACTGAAGCACGAGAAACGTATTCAGTGAATTACAATCCGGAAAGTAGAACGTTATGATCTGACCTTAGGTCATCACCATGGAGTAGCCAATCACGGACCTGGAATTCGATCTCACACGTTTGGTACCGGTTATGTTGATTGGGTTTCTCACCCACAGGTGTGTAATAAATGTTCAAAAGTTTACTTCACTAGCTCTGTTCATTAAAACGCCGCGATATAACTGGAATACTATTAAAAGCGGCGATACACCCAACTCACTCACTCACTGTTCATTAAAAGGCACCAGGCCAGGATGTGTTTGATACATGCGAAGTTTCATGTCAAGATTCCGAGTTTTCGAGTTATGCTTTTGTTTGTTGTTTAACGCTCCAGCTATATGACGGCGGTCTGTAAAAAGTCGAGTCTGGATCAGACAATCCAGTGATTCACATCACGAGCATCGATCCACTCATTTGGGATACGATGACATGCGAGCCTGACCATTCGATCCCGTTAGTCGCCTCTAGCATCATGGGAAAGCATATAGGTCCCCATGAACCTGTGCTTTACGTCAGAGGCGACTAAATGGATCGATCATCATTAAATCTGTCACTGGATTGTCTGGTCCAGGCTCGATCATTTACAGGCCCTCGTCTTATGGCTGTAATATTGCTGAGTGCGGCGTAAAACAACAAATAAATATATATTACCTGTTTACACAGATCTGGTATATTGCGGAGTGCGACGTTAAACAACGAACAAACAAACCATACCGATCTTGCTCTGAACAATACAAAAATGTATGGATAACATCCGCGTGCATGTGCACACCACGTGTGTTTTCACACAGTCTTATCAAGACAGCGACCCAAGATTGCATTGTGCCCTAAAGACGATACAGGTGCACTGTATTCTCGACCCCATTGGTCATTGTGACGCGTACCGGGAATTTCCTATCTGAGTGAGTGAGTGAGTTGGGTTTAACGCCGCTTTTAACAATATTCCAGTTATATTCCAGCGTGTCAGCTTAATGTGGAAGGAAAGCCCGAAGTAATGCAGGTCTCAGACGTTTACCACTTCGGTGAAACCCACGAGCACGGGTATGGTGCTGACAAACCTAGAGTGAGTGAGTTTGGTTTTACGCCGCTTTTAACAGTATTCCAGTTATATCACGGCGTGTCAGTTTAATGTAAGAGGAAAGCCCAAGTGATGCAGGTCTCAGACGTTTACCACTTCGGTGAAACCCACGAGCACGGGTATGGTGCTGACAAACCTAGAAACACAATCTGGGCGATCAAGGATTCGAACCCACAATCATATGTTTCTGGCGTGCCCAAGGGACGTAACTCTGCACAGCGAATCGCGGCGCCTTAGACGACTGGGCCACCCGTGCCCACTCTGTCTTATCTGAAAACACTGCTATGTAGTAAGTGTGTAATCTTGTGCAGGTCATGCTTGGGAATTGACAGACTGCATCCGGTAAGTGCAGCACTATAACCTGCTACTTTAGTACTCGTTCCAGAAGAGGTCACAATGCTGAAGTACGGCTTGGCGCTACTTGGTAGGTATTTAATTCTGTGAACTCTCTTATTAACCTTTGCGTATGTAAGTTTAGTTCGGAGCAGCGATTGTGTAAAGGAACGCTGTGGGGTCACTCTCGATTTACCACCGAAATGTACCATGGGACGACACGGCAACGAAATTGTGGGTAGAACTCGACATATCGTTTTGTACCCAGACCATATTTTTATATATTGTTTGGTACACAACAGTTAACACTTTGATATCTACTTTCCCCGAATTACCTTGGCCTCGATCTTACAACACTTCCGATTAAAGTCAGATGTGACAGCTGACGACACCGAGCCCTCAGTGAGCAGACGACTCTCTCGCTCTCAAGTTCAAGTTAATTTAATGTTATTTAAAGAATGGTATTTAGCAAAGGAAAATAGGCTGTCAAAGAATGAAGTGTAACTTTCGGGGACATTTACTTCAAACTGAAACCTGTTATAAATATTTTGATGTAATATCAGCGATTTGACGGCCGTCTGTAAATAATCGAGTCTGGACCAGAAAATCCAGTGACTGACATCATGAGCATCGACCCACGCAATTGGGATACGAGGACATGCATCAACCAGGTCAGCAAGCCTGACCACCCGATCCCGTTAGTCGCATCTTACGACAAGCATAGTCGCCTTTTATGGCAAGCATGGGTTGCTAGAGACTGCTGTGGTATTCTAACATGGCTACACTGTGTGTGTTGATCCTAAAGATTGGTCCAGACTCGATTATTTACAGGCCGCGGTCATATAGCTGGACAATTGCTGAGTGCAGCGTTACACAAAACAATGAGTAAAACTGAAATCAAAGGTTCTAGTCCAGATATAAACGTTCATGCCTATGCTACAGCGCTGTTGTCTGGTGTGTGCGCAAAGACCGCCATTTACGAGTACACGTGTTTCGGCTACTCCGTTGTTGATGAGCACGAGGTAATCACGCAGATCAGATGTAACAGCTCCGACGTCTTCGACCCCGCTCTTGAAAAATGTGTCACGTGAGTGTTTCCCAGACATTGTTTACCCATAATCCTTTACACAATCAAGAAAGGAGAGCTTTCAACAAGTTTAATGGCAGACATGCTGAGGACATTTTCATATTTGACGTCAAAACGATATCCGATGTTACTTCCTATTTTGACCTGTACTATAATATTGGTTTCAGTGAACACTTGACTTGCCTTTGCATGTGTTTATGACGGGTGCCACCGGTGGGGGAGGATTCGCTCACCTTGTCACGAACACCTGGTATCAAAACACTAAAGGACTCTCCTTTTAACAGAGATTTATTAAGTTTGTGGACATGACATTGTCCCTGTTATATGTATAAACGAATCAATATATTTTCTTATCGTCATGACCCGTGAAGGTCCAAGCTAGAATAGTTCTTCAGCAACCCATACTTGTCGTAAGAGGCGATAAACATGATCGGGCGGTCAAACTCGCTGACTTGTTTGATGAATGTCATCGTATCCCAATTGCATGGATAGATGATCATGACATCAATCACTTGATTGTCTGGTCCAGACTCGATCATTTCCAGAACGCTGCCACAAAGCTGGAATATTGCTGAATGTGTCGTTAAGCATAAAAAATGTTATTGTTAAGTTTGTAGTGTATGCAATTGTGTTGAAAGTAGATATTTCCAAACCATATATTTGGGATTATCGTATGTTGCCCTTCATACTTGACCCGTGAAGATCCGGGGTAGAATAGGTCTTCAGCAACCCATGCTTGCCGTAAGAGGCGACTACCGGGATCGGGTTGTAAGGCCTCGCTGACTTGGTTGATGCATGTCATCGATCCCAGTTGCGTGGATCGATGCTCATGATATCAATCACTGGATTGTCTGGTCCAGACCGCCGTCATATCGCTGGACTATTGCTGAGTGTCGCGCTAGACAACAAACCAACCAACCAACCATTCATGCTTACCCTTTTCGCGAACACCTGGTGTCATCACTGATTTTCAGTGATCCATTCATATCATATTCACCTATATTTTGTCTTGTACGCCTACTGGAATCTGCTTCGGGACCGAGACTATTTTCTGGCGTTGTCGTTTTATATTCTACACCCCTTCTAAATCCATCTCCAGTCCACAGGTAGGTCACTGGCCATGTGCTGACGTAGTCGACTGCAGCAAGCGGGCCGACATGAGATACGTGGACATTGACAACAAGGATCCTGCGAATAAGTGCAAGACATACTACACCTGTCACAACGGCTACTTCTACGGCCACAACTACTGCCCCGGAGGTATGTTTGCATCATACTCTGCGCTACCCGTGAAGATCCGGGTTAGAATAGGTCTTGGGCAACCCATGCTTGTCACAAGAGGCGACTATGCTTGTCGTAAGAGGCGACTAAAGGGATCGGGTGGTCAGACTCGCTGACTTGGTTTGATGCATGTCATCGTATGCCAGTTGCGTTGACGCTGTGCAGAGTTGCGTCCCTTGGGCACGCTAGGTTTGTCGGCACCATACCCGTACTTGTGGGTTTCACCGAAGTGGTAAACATCTGAGACCTGCATTACTTTGGGCTTTCTTTCCACATTAAGCTGACACGCCGTGATAAAACTGGAATAATATTAAAAGCGGCGTTAAACCCATCTCACTCACTCACTATGCTTGTCGTAAGAGGCGACTAACGGGGTCGGGTGGTCAGGCCCGCTGACTTTGTTTGAAGCATGTCATAGATCCAAATTGCGTGGATCGATGCTCATGATGTCAATCACTGGATTGTCTGGTGCAGATTCGATTATTTACAGACCACCGTCATAAATCTGGAATATTGCTGAGGGCGGCGTTAAACAACAAACAAACACTCACTCACTCCAAGTGCGTGGATCGATGCTCATATCAATCACTGGATTGTCTGTTCCAGACTCGATTATTTATAGATCGCCGTCATATGGCTGGAATAGTGCTGAGTGCGGCGTTAAACCAACAAAAACGCTCATGTGTTAGAATGACTACGTTTAAGCTGCTGGGTAAGTGGGAATGAATCTTGGCCCCGACTTAACCTGGTGCTATATTCATTTCAGTGTTGGTGTTCAATGAAGAGAAGCAGTACTGTGACTGGATCTATGACGTCAAACCGCCATGTGGAACTTTAGCTGCCGTCGTGGGATAAATCTGAAATAAATATGAAATATTAAATGCTGCATTTACTTAATTAAGAACTGACTTACGTAATGTATGTAACTCCACACACCAAACAATCTGGTAATGCGAAACGGATTTGCGCGAAGTTTGCACACAGGATTTTACGTTAATACCTCCATAAACGAAACCTTTATGTTGAAACATATTCTTAGAAACATATTACTCAACAAAAATTTCACAGCCTGCTTTTTTAATTATTAACACACGCAAAATTGACACGAATCAGTGACCGTTCAGCGCAAAAATGCAACACAAGCCCCGCCCACTCTATCAGCCAATTCTACTCTTTTTTTTGGTTTACTAAAACATAAACGCAAACTTATCGATTGATTTGCCTATCAAATGCGCTGGATTCACTTGCAATGTATCTAAAGTTTTATGTTTGTTTTATGTTATGTTATGTATGTTTCTATATATAGACGAAAAAGTTCGACAATACAATAACAACATTCAATTTGGGGGATCGGTTGATCAGGCTCACTGAAGCATGTCATCATATTCCAATTGCGTGGATCGATGCTCAAATGTCAATCACTGGATTGTCTGGTCCAAATTAGATTATTTACAGACCGCCGTCATATTCCTGAGCGCGGCGTTAAATAACTAATAAACAAACAAACAAACAAACAAAACTCTTCAATTTGTTGTACCACAGATGGTGGAATGGGGTTTAACATCGCGTTCAAGATTATTCCACTTACACAGCGACGTGTGTGTGTGTGCGCGCGCGCGTCTGTTTGTACTAGTCCGGGATAATGCCGGTTTACTAGTGCTATCCCACTGGGATTGTTATCCTCAATTTTACATTGATACACGATTCAGACACAGCATACGGACCATTCCTTCCTTTATCCCCTTAATGCCGAGCGTCAGGCAGGGTAACAACAAGTAGCATGTTTTAACGTCTTATGGTATGTGTGTGAGTGAGAGTTAATATTTAAAGTCACACCGGCAGTATTTCAGCCGGATCGTGAATACCGAAGGTGATTCATAATAAATACATTTAGACTATTAACAAAATGCCAAATAGGACAGGGAAATAACTAGACTATCTCAGTTCTATATTCAAAACCTGTTTGTTTGTTTGTTGTTGGTTTAACGCCGGACTCGGCAATACTCCAGCTGTATGACGGCGGTCTGTAAATAATCCCGTATGGACAATCCAGTGACTGATATCATGAGCATCGATCTACGGATTTGGCGAGCCCGACCACCCGATCCCGTTAGTCGCCTCTTACGACAAGCAGAGCCCCTTTTTACGACAGTCATGGGCTGCTGAAGACCTGGATCTTCACGGGTTATTTAAAACTGGCATATAACCATACACATATATCACTTTATAGCTAAACTGCTTGTGGCTTGGACTGGCATTATTATGGCATCATTATAGCTAAAATGGATAGAATTATCATTAAACCGCCCGCATGTTATCAGAAATGAGCGGGTCACTGTAACTTGATAATGCCCTCATATTGCTTGACGACGGGCCTTTATCACGCCCGTTGTTAGGTGATAGGATAGGGATAGGTGACGTCACGTTCAATAGTGACGTCATCTGGTTTGTTCTATGACGTTTCCATATTTGCAAAAGTGTGTCAGTGACATTCGTATTGATTGCAGTAAATGTTTAAAACCGATATTGGTGTTTCTTTCCTTTTTTTTGATAACATGATAACATCCATTTTAGCTATAATAAAGGTAACGCTATTTTTCAGGGCATTATCATTTGCAGAAGCCCGTGGTCTTTTCAACTGCCCTCCCCCGTCGGGCAGTTTATGGAAGACCTCGGTCTTCAGCAAATGATAATGCCCGGAAAAATAGCGTTACCCTCCCACAGGAGATATCGCTTGGGTGAAGTCAAACGCAGTGTAGGGGTGCGTTGCAAAGCGCCAATCGCTTGTAAGCGATGTACAGCGATTCGCCTTACAGCAGTGCGCTAACTTTCAGCCGCTTGCAAGCGAAACAATCGCTGACTGAGGTCGCTTCGTTCTCAAACCAAAATGGCGGCTTACTTTGACAGCGGAACAAGGAATTCTTGACTGGATCAACGAGAAAATGAGCAAAGGTAGCTAACACCCCATCATCCTCAGTCTGCTCCACATCTTCAAAGTAGTCATAAATTTCATCAGCTCGTCATCGAGCCTCTTCTATTACGTTCTTCATTACGCGGATGGTCAGGCTCGCTGACATGGTTGATGCATGTCATCGTATCCCAATTACGTGGATAGATACTCATGATGTCAATCACTGGATTGTCTGGTCCATACTCGATTATTTACAAACCGCCGTCATATAGCTGGAAGATTGCTGAGTGCGGCGTTAAACAACAAACAAACAAACGTCAAGGCAACCAAGCGGTAGTTGTGCCGCCATTTTGGAAGAGTGCGCAAGCGCTTCGAACTGTTGCAGACCCCGGGTTGAGCGATGAATTTGCTTTCTCTAAGCGATTCGTCGCTTGCAACGCGCCCCTAATATCGCTGCAATGGAATTGCATCACAATGCTTTGCAGACCATGTGTGACGCCATTACCATGACGTCACAATGAAATTACATCACGCCCACCCGATCCCGTTAAGGGGCATTCACACGGTACAACTAGTTGTATACCATTGGTTGCATGCAACTTGTTGCACGAACTGATGTTGTATACAACTCAGCTTTCACACGGCGGCGAGTTGCATACAACTCGGATCTCGCGAGATCTCAATTTTTAAGACGATGTTTACATTACGTCATGGCGTCAATGTATGACAACGATAGCGATGACGATATACTTGAGATTGACACAGTTGCGTTGCTTGCGGATTGTTCACAAGTTAGAACCAAGCGGTCATGTTGGGTGAGGCCATGGATTGCTAGACGAGGGCAATTAGGAGCGCACAGCGCTCTTTTGGCGGAGCTCGAAGCCGAGGATACAAAGGCCTTCTCCAATTTTCTTCGCATGAACAAGACAAGCTTCACCAATCTCCTAGTTGTTGTTGTTGCATTAAGTTTTTAAGAGGTCGCCTTCTGCCTAAGCAATTTCGGCTGACCTGTCCCTCTTTGGGACTCCTGTGTGTGAGTAGGGTAAACATATCTATTGTGAGTTTGGTATTCACATAATTTCTGTTTTTGTATTGATATGATTTCTATTTTCGTATATTGATATGATTTCATTTTTATCCTTGGCTGCTCTGTTTATATACGTTCAAGTAGCTGTCCATCTCTCAGAAAAAGAGTTAGTTTGGCCTTCGCTTTTGCATCTCTTGGCTTTAGGAGATTAATGACAGATAGCGGATCTAACTGCAATTCTTGTTTTAACCTAGCCCGGGCTGGGGCATGGTCTTGACATTCTAGTAACACGTGAGCAATGGTTTCCGGCTGATTGCAATATAAACAAAACTTGTCATAGTGCTTTTTGTGACCGAATCTGAGGCGTGAGATAGCAATTTCCATTTTCCTTTCATTTGGGTATGAGTTTGGCTTTTGTTGGACCTTGGGTTGAATTTTGTATAGCCATCTGCCGATCTTACTTGTGTCACATTGGGCTTGCCATCTTTCTGCTTTTTGATTTTGCTTTTTATCTCTAGTTTACTAAAGGGAATAGGCTGTATATCCGCTTTGTCTGGAGCTAGCTTCGCCAGTGAGTCTGCTTTTTCATTTCCATGAATATCTTTGTGAGACGGGATTCAACAAAGCTGAACCTGTTGCCCTTGGTCCGATAGTTTTGTATATTCGTATGGAATATTGTTGACTGTGTTTGGCCTTGAGTTTGAGTTTCTGCCGCTGATGGCTTGAAGTGCACTTAGCGAGTCTGATAGGACGACTGCCTTTGCTTCCGGAAGTTCCGGTATGAGTTTGATCCAATCTCCTAGACCGCGTGTCACCTGTAATTGCCAAAACCGAAACCCCCATGCGTGATGCCATTCCACCCAGTGAGAAGTTGGCCGTTACTCTCCACTATCTAGCCACCGGTAAGTATACTCTTGCGAAAAGAGATCTATAGTTTACCCGTGATCAGCTGTTATTGAAGGGCAAGGACACGATGAACAGGCAATACTCTTCACATCGTACAATGGCATAATTGATTGTTATACATTAACGGAATAAGTGTGCGAGGAGCTTTGAACGAGGGTCAAACTGTGTGTCTGCCACCTTTTCGTATATCATATTGTGTCTGTTATTTTACCCAAAAGGAAAGGTTAGGCCCATAACTGCCTCAAATAGATGTAGGGTGAATGAGAATGCTTGATTTTCCAATGTAAGTCTATTATTTTTAATGTATTACCATAGAAAACGTAAACGCTCATTTTGAAGATGAATTGTATTTATTATGAACATGTTCAGGTAGATCTATATTTCATCAATGTTAAGTATCTATTTTCAAATATATAAAAGTTAAGTGAAGACAATTTTTTTCGCACAATTTATCACATACAGCTTTATTGTTTCAAAATATTTTTCTTATTACATTTTACTCATTTAATTTATTCAAAACCCACAAACAACTCTTATAAAAAACCTTACAAGTTCAGATCATGACATATTTTCATCAATTATTATGATATGATAATTGACACAAGTTGGTAAATATTCAGACACCATGAAACAGTTTCATTTAAATATGTTCCTAACCATTCAAAGATGTGCAAATTAGTACATATGTACTAAATAAATAATAATTGACACAAGGGGTGTCTGGCAGGCCTTTTGCAGAGGAAGATTTGTCTGGCGTGGCCCATTCTGTACTCTGTGAGATGAACCAGTTCATTTACACTTACTTTCATGTGGTACCTCCAATGTTTGATCCAGCCCTTGAATGGCCCCTTCTTTTGGGGGGCCAGGGGCCACACGCAGCAGGGGCTCCCCGGCAGACATCCATATATGAATATGTTGGGTTACACAGTAAATGTTCCTGTGTTCGGATATTGGTACCTTGTTCGTTTGACCAAAGTGCTCTGGGCTGCCGCTCTAAAGACCTATTCTAACACAGATCTTCACGGGTGTAAGAACAAACTTGCATGGAAAGAAGTAATTAGAAACGCCGACATTTCGATGTGATCCAAGATGACACTATCCAAAGCCAGTCAGACGTTCTTAAGGGACCGCCCATCGTGTAATACTAGTAATCAAATATTTTGGGGAAGGGAGAGGATTGTAAATTGAGACTTTTTATCCCTCGACATATAATGACGGGGGGATATACCCATCAGTATGTCCGTCTGTCCGTAATCGTTGTTCCGGAGCATATTTCCTAAACCGTACAACCTAACTTCGCAAAACTTGGTACACTTAACAATCAGGCTCAGTAGAAGTGCCTTTTGCTATTTAGAGATTTTTAGAATTTTATATTTTTGTCGTTTCCATGGAAATATGATGAACTTAGGAAATTTGAGGGTAGTGCTCTTGTCCGGACCATATCTCCCGAACCATACAAGTTAGCTTCTCAAAAGTTTTTTACACCTATCAAGCAGGTTATGTAGTGTTGCCTTTGCTATTAACAGATTTTTTTCTCTTTTCAATTTAAATTGAAAATTGATGAACTTAGGGTAATGTCCTCGTCTGGAGCATATCTTCTAAACCACGCGACAGAGATTCACCAAACTTTATGCACATATCAATCATGTTCACTAGTAGTGCAGTTTGTTATTTATAGATTTTAATCTTTTTAGTTTGTAGCCCCTGACATATAATGAAACCAAGATGTTTAGGTTTGGTTTTGTCAATCCCTAGTACATTCTCGTTATGCCTTTGTGTCATGAGGCTACAACAATGCTATTCATATGCGAATCTGCGAAGTTACTGTTAATACAATTTCATGAGATCATCAGAAAGTGAGCTACATGAACCAATATTTAATAACCTTCATTATATTTCTGGTTTTGGCATCGAGGAAAAATATTTCCTTGCCAATCTCAATACATGTGAAGGTACACACAGTTTACCGACATGCCACATCGGGGGGATATGTCATCTTCACATGACTCTTGTTTTCATTAGCGCTTAAAAAAATACAGATTATTTTTATCCAAAGGATTACAACACGTTTTTTCCAGATCATTCAGAATGTCCAGTGTACGATTTATTTTAGGGGGAAAACCCGGAGGACGTTATTTTTTCCAGTTTTGAGAATATAATTTTGTTCACAACCACTTAACCCACACAGAAGGGGCGGTCGGGTAGCCTAGTGGTTAAAACGTTAGTTCATCTCGCGGAAAACCCGGGTTCGATTCCCGACATGGGTACAATGAATGGAGCTTATTTTTGGTGTCCCCGCCGTGATATTGCTAAAAGCGGCGTAAAACCAAACACCCCAACTCCAACCACAGTCGTGTGTCGGGACCTCATAGCGACCTCCAGATAGTACAATCTACATGTCTGTGAATAGTATTGTGAAATAACATATGTTGACCCATGGCAGGACAAGCCTTTCCATGCGATTGTGTAAGTGTTGAAATGCGCACCCACGGAATTTTAATTTTCAGTAGGACAAGCCCTTCCATGCGATTGTGTAAGTGTTGAAATGCGGACCCACGGAATTTTAATTTTCAGTAAGTATTTAATGTTTTGTTATTAGATAAATTGGTTGGTTGGTTTGTTGTTTTACGCAATATTTCAGCTATATGACGGCGGTCTGTAAATAATCGAGTGATTAATGTCGTGAGCATCGATCGATGACATGCATCAACCGAAGTCAGCGAGCCTGACCACCCCCATCCGGTTAGTCGCCTTTTACGGCAAGACCTATTCTACCCCGGAATCTTCACGGGTCTGTTAGATAAGTGTCATGGTTATGTCAACTTGTACCTAAACCTTTTTACATTAGTAATGTGACGTCAGAAACACGACATCAAGTCCTTTAGATTTGTTTTGTTTGTTGGTTGTTTAACGCCGCACTCTCAAATATTCCAGCTTGGCGTGGTCAGGCTCGCTGACTTGGTTGAAGAATGTCATCGATCCCAATTTCGTGGATCGATGCTCATGATGTCGATCACGGGATTGTCTGGTCCAGACTCGATTATTAACAGACCACCCACATTTAACTGGGATATTGCTGAGTGCGGCGTAAAACAACAAACCAACCAAATCCAGCTTGGCGGCGATCTGTAAATAATCGAGTCTGGACTACACAATCCAGTGATTATCATGAACATCGATCCACGCAATTGGAGTACGACATGCATCAACCAAGTCAGCGAGCCTGATTGATGATCATAATGTCAATCACTGGATTGTCTGGTCCAGACTCGATTATTATACAAACCGCCGTCATATAGCTGGAATATTGCTGAGTGCGGCGTTAAACAACAAGCAAACAAAATCAAACATGTCGCTGTTGCAGACGCGGCGTTGTTGCTGGTGTGCGGCGAGCAGATCGTCTACGAATACACGTGCTTCAGCTACACCATCAAGGATGGACGTAATCGGGACGTGGTGATCAGGTGCAACTCCACCGAGGTATTTAGCCCCGTGGACGGCAAATGCGTCAAGTAAGTTTCTCATCTCATATGGGGCATGACAGAAACCCTGGGGTAGAATAGGTCTTCAGCAACCCATGCTTGCTGCAAAAGGTGACTATGCTCGCCGTAATAGGCGACTAACGGGATCAGGTGGTCAGGCTCGCTGACTTGGTTGATACGTATCATCGTACCCCAATTGCGTGGATCGATGCTCATGATGTCAATCACTGGATAGTCTGGTCCAGACTCGATTATTGTACAGACCGCCGTCATATAGCTGGAATATTGCTGAGTGCGGCGTAAAACAACAAACCAACCTTAGAATATTTAATGGTGCGCCAACTGCCCTCGTGTTGCTTTCAGACCTGATAGGAACAAATGGCCGTGTGGTATAGGTATGGACTGCCAGACTAAGGCAGACAAGGCATATCCAGACACGAACGAAGGATGCAAAACGTACTACACCTGCCACGGGGGATTCTTCTTTGGACACAACTACTGTCCAGGAGGTAAGGCGAAGATAGGACAATTCACGTTTTAGCTCACCTGACTGTCAAGTGTGCTTATGTCAGTTTCTGCATGTCTTGCCTCAGACGTTAACACCTCAGGAACCACTGGACCAATAAAACTGAAACTTCACATGCTTGTTCCCACCAATGCCACCCGAATTCGTTCAACTAGTTCTAATTCGTTTTTACGGCGGCCATATTGAAAAAATACCCTATCTGTGGCCATTACGCAGCCATTTTCAGTAACAATGTAATGACATTTGGTACACGTGTAATGACATTTGGTACACGTGTAGTGACATTTGGTACACGTGTAGTGAGGAGTAACAAATGTTCCCTGTATTGTGCTATTTTAACTTTTGACCATGCTCTTAATTCTCTCTAAATGCGCTCAACATATTTGTCAGAAAATCTGCTTTTCGAACTCCAACCTAATTCGTTAATACGGCAGCCTTATTGAAAAAATCTGTGGCCATTACGCAGCCATGTGTGTTAACAGTGTTACGACATTTGGTACGTACACGTGTAGTGAGGTTCCCCTGTATTGTGCTATTTTATCTTTTGACCTTGATTTGATCTTTGCACTTTGACCATGCTCTTAATTCTCTCAAAATGCGCTCTAGGTTATGTAAACATTATCTCCTCAGAAACCACTGGACCAATGAAACAGAAACTTGTTCGAGAGGTTCAAATACGATTTTCAATATGGAAAAAAAGCAATATTTCTCAGAAAATCCGCTTATCGATCTCAAACCTATCCCACTCGTTTGTTTGTTTGTTGTTTTACGCCGTACAAGCATGGGTTGCTGAAGGTCAAGTAAAAACTAACATGAAACAAATCTTCTTTTTTCAGAAAGTACACATATCAAAATCAAACTAAGCACTGCACCGCTTCTATAAGTATGGAAACTATTTCCTAAACTTGTGACCCGTGAAGATCCGGGGGAGAATAGGTCTTCAGCAACCCATGCTTGCCGTAAAAGGCAACTATACTTGTCGTAAAAGGCGACTAACGGGATCGGGTGGTCAGGCTCGCTGACTTGATTGATGCATGTCATCGATCCCAATTGCGTGGATCGATGCTCATGATATTAATCACTGGATAGTCTTGTCCAGACTCGATTATTTGCAGACCGCCGTCATATAGCTGGAATATTGCTGAATGCGGCGTTAAACAACAAACCAACCAACTTACATACCCTCTTCGGGGTACAATCATTTTACACTATATCAACCACCATCAGGGGTACAGCCACTGACAATCTCAGTAAAAAAAAAAATTCTGCCAAGTCTAAAGAGATAACTTATTTAATATTGCCTGATACAAAGATATGCCTTTCTTTTTAAGTTCTTGTTTTCAACGAAAAACTCCAGATCTGCGATTGGGAAAACAACGTTGAACCACCCTGTGGTTCTCATGTGGGAGTGATTGGCTAACAGAGCACACCCGGGTCTCACAACTACCACCCACAAATCATCAGCATATCGTTGGATGTGCATCCGTCAATCACGTTGTATTCGAGGCTCAAGAAAAAATAAAATATTTTTGTGCATTTGTCTTTAATTAATTTACCAATTAAAACATAAGAGTACATAGGGGATTTATTATATTGGGTAGTAATTGATGGACATTTGTATCGTTAGATGATCGAGCCAATCACCTTGGCATCTTGGTAATCGGTAGCTCGATCATATTACATGCAAATAGAATATCAGGCTCGGTGACCTGGTTGATTGCAGGGCATCGTGTCCCGCTTGCGTGGATCAATCCTTATGTCAATCACTGGATTGTCTGGCCAGGTCACGATCAATTACAGACCGTCGTGATATAGCTGGATTATTGCTGAGTCAGGCGGGGTACTAGTTAAACGGTAGATCAAATCAAACTGTTAAATTGTGATGAATTGTTAAAGTGATTCTTTAAAGCACAAAAACGGCCTTAAATTTGCCAAGGATATATAATTTTGTTGTTTTCCTTTAGTGAAATCCTGGTACTGTGAACCACCTAATTCTACATCGATTATCGTATTTGAAATCAAGACTAACCGGCAGTCCATCCCTTTTCAGTATCTGAAAATGATTTGATTTGTTTTTTGTTATTCAACGCCGCATTCAGCAATGTTCCAGCTATATGACGGCGGTCTGTAAATAATCGAGAGTGGACCAGACATTCTAGTGATTGACACATGAGCATCAATCCACGCAACTGGGATACGATGACATGCATCAAGCTGGTCAGTGAGCCTGACCACCCGATCCCGTTAGTCGCCTCTTACGACAAGCATAGTCGCCTTTTAGGACAAACATGGGTTGCTATTTTAAAGTGAATTAATAGGTTAAACATTTAAAAAATGTATTAATTAGTCACAAATATAAAAAATCAAAAATGTTTCCGGCATAGAATCTGGAAAACGTCATGGGGAAATCACGGTTGCGTATGTATCTGATCTGCAGGTTCTGTCTCAGAAGGTACATATTCGCATCCAACTGAAACATTCTGGATCGTTTTCTCATACATGTAATAGCCTTTCTCATTACAGCGGTTCAGACGCTGAAAAACTATTTGGTTGTGGTGGATACTGCGACATCTGCCTGTCCTACTAATACCACAGTATCGAGAGCAGTCGCAAGAACGTTTTTCAATTCGCTTTGGAATTCGATCAGGATCCAAATCGATCTGACATGTGCAGAATTCCGAACCACGTGACGTTTCACACAGGTCTATCACGTTGCTTTCTCTGACGTCCGCGCTTCTAAGAGCCCGGATTTCCGGCGACTCCAGACAAGTGTCGCTGCATTGAATGGTGACGGTTGTGAACAATTCTCCGTGGAAGACTAGCGATGAAAACAACACCTGTAACAAACGAAGCGAAATTAGAATGATGAATTGTTTAACCGTGAAGACTTTATACGATTCGAAGCTGGACTTAACGACGTTTATAGTTCCATTGGAATTCCAGGGTAGAATTGGTCCACAGCAACCTTAAATTTGCTGGTCCTTTAGGCGACTTAATAGATCGGGCAGTCAGGCTTGGTGACTTGGTTGATTCGGTGGCTCAGTCGTCTAGGGCGCCGCGATTCGCTGTACACGTCCCTTGGGCACGCCAGAAATCTGTGATTGTGGGTTCGAATCCCGGTTCCCCCCGATTATGTTTCAAGGTTTGTCAGCACCATACCCGTGCTCGTGGGTTTCACCGAAGTGGTAAACGTCTGAGACCTGCATCACTTCGGGCTTTCCTCCCAGATAAATCTGACACACCGCGATATAACTGTAATACTGTTAAAGGCGGCGTTAAACCAAACTCACTCACTCACTCACGTGGTTGATTCCATGTCGCCGCAGCCCGACGGCGTAGATTATTGCTCACAATATCACTCACTGGATTGTCTGATTATTCGATTCGATTATTACGGATTATTACGGACCTTCAGCAATATTTTGTTTGTTTGTTGTTTAACGCCGCACTCAGCACTACTCCAGCTATATGACGGCGGTCTGTAAAATAATCGAATCTGGACCAGACAATCCAGTGATTGACATCATGAGCATCGACCCACGCAATTGGGATCGATGACATGCATCAACCAAGTCAGCGAGCCTGACCGCCCGATCCCGTTAGTCGCCTTTTACGACAAGCATAGTCGCCCTTTACGGCAAGCATGGGCTGCTGAAGACCTATACCCCGGAATCTTCACGGGTCACACACACACACACACACACACACACACACACACACACATACATACATACATATATATATGTATCAAATGGTACATAATTCAAATATTAGTTAAGAGTCTTCAGTGAATAGACCCTTTTTTGGTGACCCCGCCGTGATATTTATTACTGGAATTACTGGAATATTGCTAAAAGCGGCGTAATACCAAACATCCCGACCCCAACTCCAACCACAGTCGTGTGTCGGAACCTCATAGCGACCTCCAGATAGTACAATCTACATGTCTGTGAATAGTATTGTGAAGTAACATATGTTGACCCTTGGCGAGACAAGCCTTTCCATGCGATTGTGCAAGTGGTGAAATGCGGACCTACGGAATTTTAATTTTCAGTAAGTTTTTAATGTTTTGTTGTCAGATAATGGGTCTTGACCCTTAGATAACTGTCTTGGTTATGTCAGCTTGTACCTAAACCTTTTTACACTAGTAATGTGACGTCAGAAACACGACATTAAGTCCTTTAGATTTGTTTGTTTTGTTTGTTTAACCTTTTGCCTGCTGAATTTTCACACTTCTCACCCCTGCCTGCTGAAATAATTTTAGCATAAGGCGCTCTGAAGAGGGTGGGTGATTTCAAACGGTCGGTGCCTCATTAAACAAGGGCCAATTGAAAAAAAATATTTTGCACATTTATTCCTGATAGAAAACTACACAGTACTATATAAAAATATCCCGATGTTTTCAATGATACCAAGGTTAAGACCAAAGCGAACACAAAATTTGTAAATTTTCTTGAACTTACCTGAATTGCGTTATTGAAGGTGGTTTGCATTTCATGCTAGGAACCTAATATAATATCGTTAATATCGTAAGATTTGTGCAAATTGATTTCAATAATCATATCTCCGATATCTTAATTTTAATTGAGTAAAAGTTCGGGGTTTTTTTATCGGCAAATAACAGCGCGATGGTAAATTGTGAACCATTTCAGTAAATTCATTATCCAAACGTTAAAAAGAAAAATAACTGAATTTTCGAGGTCATGTCGGTTGCAGAAATACGAATATTCAGGTTAATCTGACGTGTCATGTTATAAAATTTGCAGGAAACAATTAATAACATAAATATTCACTAATCCTAATTCCAAGCGTTTTGGTTGAATATTTACAATATACAAAAATAAACAACCCGTGTCATGATGCTAGCAGACGTCCTAAAATCAAACATGGCGCGCTTCGCCCGACCTCCGCATAATTTATTGCTATGTTAATATCAACAAAGTTTTCATTGCCTTTATAAATATAACTTGGCGAAAGTTGACGACCTTCTCAATCGAAGAATGTTTTATTCGTCATATTCCTATTAATATGACGGGAGAAAAACGAAAATAAAGATCGTGAATTCTGACAGCACTATTTCAATAACTGGATGTGATGTCACAGAGAGGGGTAGTCTGCTGATAATCTTTCGTAAAAAAGCAATTACAGTATATTTTGAAATAGTTCCCCTATCACATACAGCAAAAACATAAGTCGATACACAGTATCAGTAATCACCACTAACATGAAATAAAAATGTGACTTTGACGATATAATTCGCGTATTAGTTAATCCGTTTGACCTTGCATGCTCCCGTGACCCGGAAACGGTAGACGATAAATCAACATGCCACGTGCAAGTTTCTCTGTATCTTTTATTTGAACTTCTGTTGATATTTAAGAATCACCATTCAATGTTACTGTGAATATAAATGGGACATGATTCTTATTTCTGCGATGTACACGCTGATAAGTTTCGAATTCACTACAACAAGTGTTTCCCACGTAACATATCGTCGATCAGCAAGATCACCCTCTACAACAGGTGCGCGAAAATGGGCTTGACAAAACGTGTTTCAAAATAACATCCCCGCGTTGCTGAATATGATAGGGTATATATAAGCAATAAAATGCTACGTACATATATTTTCGGTGTTAGTTCCACATTACATTTGGGATAGTTTTCCTTCCGGCAATACATTCATAGATTCTAGCATGATTTTAGAAAGCTTCACGAAGGATTTCTCAATTTATTCCAAAAATATGAAGACCACCATGATTGCGCATTGATGATAGATTTGTAATTGTTTAATTATTTACAGCTGTTTACAGGTTTTAAAATTTTAAGTTATATTTAGTAGTTATTTTTTTCCACAGTGTGTGTGGACAGTAAATATTGGTCTTTGCATCAGCACAGTGTAACTGATCGAACTTCAATTATTATCTTTAGTTTAAACATATTTTTTCAACAATTATTATCTTTCACTCTGAAAATCAACTATGTGATTAAGTAACTCTCTGATGTCATCATTTTAATTTTGGTATTCCATGAATAATGAACAAATCAGATCCTTAACATATACATACTAAACTCATATGGACATTGATCTTGTGCATTAAGTGGTTTGTTTCGAAAATAAAACAATTCTGAAACATAATTTCATAGGAATATGATACATAAATTACAGTAACAGTACTTGTAACAGTGCATGACATTTTTGTTTGTTTAATCACAAGAACCGTGGTGGCACATAAGCTGGTAAGTTAGCCATATATTTCTAAAAAATGCTATCTCAGTCTTCTGTTTGGAATGAAAAGAAACGTGCCTGTGTACATGTTTACCCTTGCCAGATGTATTTTTTCCAGTCAGGCAATCCATTACTTTTGTTCACCTTAGAAGAAGAAGAAGAAGAAGAAGAAGAAGAATATTTATTGTACAAAACACCCACAGGGGCAGGGTACAAAACATGAACATGACTAATTAAAACATTGACATACAAAACAGAGTACAAATATTGCTATGATTATATTGTCAGGGAGGAGATGCTTATGTGGTCT